GTTTCAATTCGAAAAAGTGTAATACCCACAAGCCTTCACTCTGTGGTTGCCACTGCTTGAACATAGTTATATCAGACCGAGCTAAATCATTAGTGAAGTCTATATTGCTGTTTGGAGTTGTTCAAAGAACCTATAAATTCTTTATCCATCAATCAAGCGCTGGATCTTAAGCACAATAGAACCTTACAAAAAATGCAGTTTTCTTAACCCTAATTGGCACAACTAAATCATCTTTAAAAGGCAGAACGGACAAGTTCTCAAAATAAGAGTCAAAGTGGGAATTCTTATTTGACCTGAAAAAACCAAAGAAAAAACATAATGAGAATTATAAAATGAAAATTTTAGAAGAACATCTGACAGTGAAAAAAATTTCAGATATAAATGAGGAAGAACTGTACAAATAAAATTCTACATGGCAGTTTGATAGCTACTGTTTTTGACAAATAGTGTGAGCAGAAGGCGGTCAGCAAAACACTATTACCGTTAGAAGTATCAATATAATCAAAAACACCAACAGAAAAGACCTTCCTAATATGTGTATAGTAGATATGGATAGCACAAGTCATTTTGCTAACAATTTTAATGAAAGTGGCCAGCACACGGTTGGCCAAAGAGACCGCCAGGTTTTATGTTGTGTCACTCATACAAATTTTTTTTTATTTTAGAGTATTAGTAGTTTACTTATAAAAAAAGGGTTTTTTAAAATCTGAATACGGTGCAAAGGGTCAAAAAAGGGCAAGAAAAGGGCAATGCAAAAGTTTCTAGCCTCATTATTTTATAAATGATTATAATAACGAATTTTATTCTGATTAAAAATTGTATAGAAACATACGCTTGAAATTTAATGGAAAGTTCTCTATTTTACATTTGAAACAAAAAAGTTATATATTCAAATGATGAAATTCGACATCTTTTTGAATATCTTTTTTGCAACTTACATAATTTAACCGAACTTCTTACAACATTTAAAATACCTGGTTTTTATTAACATCAATTTTAAGTTAATGACTTACAAATTTATTAGAAGAATTTAAAAGTTAAAATATTTTTTTAAATAATGAAAATAATAGCCGCTTTGTATTTTCTATTTATATGTCAACATAAATTAATGATAATAAATCAAGCAACTTTTTAAGGTAAATTTTTTAATGAGAAAGTCAAATCCAGGCTTCATAATTATAAAAGATTTTTAAATTGTTTTTAGTTAAGCGTTAACTAATTTTTGCTGATCTAGTAACTTTATATAAAAGGAATTTTGCATTAGCTTTTTTTTAAGATAGCAATTTAAATTAAAGTTTTCTCAAGATTAAGTATTTTAACTTAATGGTATTATATTAAGTTTGCATTTTTTTGGATATAATTCACATTGATTTCAATAAATTTAAATGGCTGGTGTTAGCATGTCAACTGCTTCTTTTCAATGAAATGCAACATGTTGTTGCTGCTGGGAATTTTTTGGAGCAAGATCATTGTCTTTATCTCCTGTAAATTCAACAATAGAAAATTTGATGAAGCTGTATATATATCCCGGTTATTCCCTGGAAATTAGCAGTTACCCAACTGTAGTTTGTTCCAGTTGTAGAAGGAATCTTTACATGATCAAGTCCGGTAATACACCCAGAGGCTCGTGGGGAGAGAAAGTATCAAAGGTAGAATGTCAAACTATATTTTAAACTCATTATTTTTGTCAAGTTTTTTTAAGCTATAAAGTTTTAAAATTATTAATATTTCTTTAGATATAGATACCATCTATATAGCAATCGATAGTCTTAAAAAAGTACGCTTTAATAATAAGTAAAAAAACGTTAAAAACAAAATTGTTTTTATTTTTAACCTTATTATTAAAAAAGATATACCATTACTATTTATAGCAAATTCTAAATTGTAATGAAGCACTTATATTTAAATAATTTTGTATTTCACTTTTAAAGGTTGAATGGAAAATGATGACCAGAAATTCAAATGGAATGCTCCCAATTAGTGAAACCGTACCAGTTATATCTTTTTCTGCCAATAATTCAAAGTTCTGTGGACAATGCTACTCAATCTTATCAGCAGGACATGTCCACAACTGTTCTTCATCAACTGCTGTAAAAAACTTGATTTTTCTATCCACAAGTCTAGGGAGCATTCAAGCTGAACAAGCTGCTTCATGTATAATACAAAATAAAATGAGTGCAGACTGCATTTCAACAGGGACAATATTTTCTTTATCAACTGGGGGAAACCCGTTGAAAGTAACTGTTGGATGTCCTTCTAACAAGGTAAATAGAAGATCAGTAAAACAAGTATCCTTACAAGTTATAAAGGAACTTCAAGTCGTATTAGAGCTTTCTAATAAAAAGACCAAACAATTAATTTCTACTCTTCGGAAAGGAATAGGGAGTAAGACTGTTGTAGAAACTAACATTTTTGGCAAGTTAAATGATCTTTCGGAATCCATATCACATTTTTATCATGTAGAAAAGGTAATTTATATTTTAAATATATTCATATTTATATATTATTTATAGATATCTAGTAATATATTGATCAAAAAATTGCTCTGTTATGATGTTAGATTTTCTAATATAAAATGATATGCAAAAAAGAGAGAGATCCTTCACTGTGAATAAAACATCCTTATTCTATAGTAAGATAGAAACTGATCTTATATTAGATCAGACAAAGCTTTTTTAACTTATTACTTTGAATACTAATCTTCATAGTGGTTGTAAAATATATTCCTAATTTTCATAACAGGCTAACACCAGGAAAGACATTTGGTTGTAAAAAAAGTTGCTTTAACTCTTCCATAAGCCATATAAATATATAAAATGCCATTAAAAAAAATATGTCCTAGCCAAGCAAGTGTGTATTATTTATATAAATATTATTTGTTATGGCTAAACATGTTTATTCATTACAAAATGTACTTATACAATGTGTAACCATCAATATATGTACAATATTTTTGTAAAATAGTGAAGCTAATTTAAAGTTGAATGATATTCGAATTAGATTTTGAATAATTTACATAAATATTTTGTGTTTTTTATTAATCTTTAAGTTTTCTTAGTAATTTTTATATACAATATAATGACACTATATGAATGCGACAAAATAATGACACTTATCTATTTATACATCTTAACAGATAGATTTCCTTGACAATGAATTGGGAATTGTTGAAAAGAATCTTGTGTATGTTCAAGAGTCATTATCTTTCACAATGGATTTGATTAACCAACGTGGTTTAGACGTTCATTCTGCATTTGTACGAATATCTATGGATAGTGGAGAATCCTTTTTGAAAATTATAATCAATGTTTTTGATGTAAATGAAAAAAAAAAGTCTTCTGTAATGTACATGAATAGTGGTGTTCAACGTTGTCAAATTCTTGCTATTGTTGAAGACGTTCCTGAATCAAATCATAACTTAAGAATTATATTAGAAAAACTCAAGTTACAAGATGTCAATTTTTTGTAGCATTTGATTTAAAGTGTGCTAATGCTGTGTTTGGTCTATCAGGTCATGCAGGAAAAAGAGCATGCCTGTGGTGTGAAGGTTTGAAAAATGGAGAATGTGGAAAGTTAAGAACTCTTGGAAGTCTTGATTATTGGTATGAAAAATACAGTGTCGAAAATAAATTTAAAAAATCTTACATGCAACAATATATGAATGTTATACATCCAAGGATTCTCTATCTAGAGAAGAGTCCAGATACTTTAATTCAGCATTTGGTACCACCTCCTGAATTACATCTTTTGATTAGAGTTGTATCTACTTTAGGATGTCTACTTATGGATATTTGGCCTGAATTTGATGACTGGCTGAAAACTAAAAGTGTTCATCAGAGAGGGTATTAAGGTAGAGGTTGGGACGGAAATAATTCTAACAAGATCCTGAAAAACCTGGATGAACTTGATAAAGTAGTAGCATCTCAGGTTCCTCAACTGAGACCTATAATTCAGTGTTTGAAAGACTTTAAAATAGTAAAAGATTCCTGTTTTGTTCAAATTCTTTTTTGACAGAGTATAAAATGGCATTTACTGTGTTTAAAAATTCTTTCCTTTTTACCCAAGAGCTTGCACAGGCTCTAGGGAAAAAATGTTCTTTAAGCTGGAAGTTTCACATCTTGCTGTGTCATGTTCAACCCTTTTAAACCTACCTGGAGTAGATATAAACGTGCAGAAGACCATGCTCAACATGGAGAACAGCTGTTATCCTCTGTAATAAATTTCAATGAAAGAAGACTTTAATTTATCTTTAACTTTGACATGTTGCTTTCTAAAGTGCAGGAAATGAATTAATGTGTATTTGGATTGTGTAACAAATATAAATTAATATTGTATATATATATATATATATATATATATATATATATATATATATATATATATATATATATATATATATATATATATATATATATTTTTTTTTGTTTTACTTTTTTAAATTGCTTAAAGTCTTTATTTGTAACAGGCATCTAAAATGTTTAAATGGACTTGTGGCCCCATCAATTTAACCTTTTTGCTTTATTTGTGAGTCTTAGTTCTTTGTTTCGATTTTAAAACACTTGTGTCAATTTGTACAAGTCAAATATCATAAATTAACAAATTTTTCTTACAATGGGCGTCTAAAATACTTCAATGGGGGTAGGGCCCCTCAATCTTATTTTTATATGTCCTTTGTGATCCCTAGGACTTTGTTCCGACTTTTATAGTTTAAAAACTTTATATTCTATTTTTATAAGACACATATTCTTAATTAATTTATATATTTTTTGTAATGAGCGTCTAAAATGGTCAATTGGGCATCAGGCCCCTCAATTTACCTTTTTGCCCCATTTATGACTCTTAGCAATTTTTTGCGATTTTAAAAATGCTAGATTCTATTTTTATAAAGCAAATACTCTTAAATAAAAAAAGTTTCGTTCAAGTGACACGACATAAAACCTGGTGGTCTCTTTGGCCAACCGTGTGCAGTGAATGTAGTTTCAGTAAGTTGAAGTTAATTAAAACCTACCTACATACAACAATGAAACAAAAAAGATTGATTGCTTGAATGTATATATATTTATCTTTATGATAGATTAGTAGGTGATGTAAGTATTAAAGTATTGATGACAGCACAAAAAGTTTATTTATGCGATTATTACTGGAGAGAGAGGCATCGTAATAACATTAGCCCCAGGTGCCACCCTCCCTAGGGATGGCCTTGGTTGTATATAAAAGAAAAACGTGAAGATGGCTAATAGTTATAAGGTTTTTTTGATGTGCAAGGATAAAAATGGATAATTAAGAGTTTTTATAGCATGAAGGGACAAATACAGTAAAAGGATGCAACTTGTTGAATAAGAAACAAGCAAGAATGAGTTTTGGTTTACCATAATGGAGATGATAACTTGTTTGAGCTTTGGCCATAATTGTATTAGTAGAAAAAAGAAAGAAATGCAACCTTACAACAATGGAAGAGTGGCTTAAGTGGCAGATAAAGCAGATTAAAAATCAGCTGCTTGTTTCAAGCAATCAAAAAGTTAAGATTTTTTGTCAAAACAGTAGTGTAAAGTTGAGTTATCAAAAAAAAGAGCAACTTTAGATGTTAAATTTTCATGAAGATTGATAAGAAACAATACAGGAGCAAAGATTTAAGGGTACTACAAGATACTTTGCGATATCCTTCAAGTTACTTGAAATAAAGAAGAGTGTAGGTCTTCAAGAATAACTTTATTTATGCATTTAGTAAGAAATAATTTAATAATCTCAAAACCTTTACATAAAGAAATTAATAACAGAGTGAAGAGTAATCGTAGGATAGTAAGAGAGGTCAAAGTGTTTTAAAAAATTGGTACTGCTTATTTAGCACTTTGTAAAAATTGAATATTATTAAATATTATAAAATTAATAAGTTTAAATGTTAGACTTACTTTAGTTAATGAAGACGAACCAAACTGCTCAAGATAGTGAAAAGTATGGAATAGAATAAAGTTTGACTTAAAATTGAAGTTATATATAGACATAAACATATATGTATATGGACATGAACATATATGTTTGATATTTATTTAGATGCTGGCATCAATATCATTTAATATTTATATAAACCTTATTTATATGGTATAGTATTTGCAGAAAGAAAAGATGATGATGATCATCATCATCATTATAATTATAATTACCATAATGATGTTTATATATGCATATACAAAATATAATATGAGTTTTGAAGAAGAAAAATATACTTTAGGATGTATAAATGTTTATGCAGCCTCGGTCAAAAACCCCGACCCGGCAATATCTTATCAAACCTAAATAATCAAGAGGCTTGTGTTTTTTCCCCTTTGTAACACTTAATTATTAAATTGTTTTTAAATGAAATTTTTTAGAAGATTTGTTTTCATTCTTCTATTAAGTTGATTCATCAGACTTTTCTTGAAAAAATCTTTTTATTTTTTCCTATCATAAAGTAAAAATATTTGTATTTGGAAAGGGGTGTCGTCCATAAAGTATGTATGCTTGTATTTTGACCCTTTCTCTTTCCTTTCCCCTCATCCTCACATTTTGCTGCACGATTTTTGAGTGCCCTACCCAACATTTTATTATGTTTTTCTTTATTAAGTGTCTCTTTACTTTTATAATTACCACCTGCACCCTATGCCATCTGAGCATACTATATGAATGATTCAAAAGTCCTGGTTGCATGTATTTGATTTTGTATTGAGAAATGTATATGTATATATGTATATATATATATATATATATATATATATATATATATATATATATATATATATATATATATATATATATATATATATATATATATATATATATATGTATATATACATATACATATAGTTCAATTTTTTATTATGTATATGTTTTTCAGTTCTATTTTTACCATTTCTTTCGATCTACATAAACTCTTATTTATTCCTTTATATTTTATTAAAATAACCATATATTTAATGCAAGGTTAAATGTTTTTTTATTATATTGAATTTTTTTATCATTTTTTTTAGCTTGACATTTACGTTCTACCTACTTCATTATTTATGATTAGTTTTACCACTGTTGAAATATGGTTTTAATTAAATAAATTTCTTGTACTGAAATTTACTTTATTGATCATCAGCTAATAGTTTTGGTAATAAAATTGATTTCAACGCTGACAAGGTAAGAATAGCTTTGTTTTCTTATAACAGCATCAAACAGCTTTTTATGATTATTATCATAACATTGCTACTTTGTGTATGTTGTATTTGTCATGGTAGTATGTTGTATTTGTCATGGTATCAATAGTTTTTGTTATACTTATAGCAAGACTAAGATAAAAAATTTTTGTATGTTTTTAAATGGCATCTTTTATTAACACTACTCTCAGTAAGAATAGAATTTTTTTTTTTAAAAGGGATATTAAACTAATACCAAGATACTTCATTAATAAACCAATTTAAAGTTTATCAAGTTATTTGAGATAACTACTTAATTTTATATTACTGCTGATTACCTATTTTTAAACATCCATTGACATAGTTAACCAATAAGAGTTGGGTAAGTAAAATAGACAATTTATTAAAATTTGACATCACAAAAAAAGGAATTAAACAATTTAATTACTACTTATTAGTAATTAAATTTAAAAGTTTTTTTTCAAATAAATCTTAATTATTACTCACAATGATAACAAAACAGCAACAAGTGCGTAATGCAAGTTTTTACGCTTGAGTGATAAACCCTAATTTGCCAAGAAAATAAATTTAGGAAAAGAGACACTTGTATTCCAAGTCAGCTCGGAATACAAGTGTCGCACAGCGGGGCAGAATAGCTTTAAATCTGGACAAAAGTAATTTTTGTTGTTTTGGATTTTTAAGTTAAATAATTATTCTAAGGGCAATTGTTAGACTTGAAAAAATTATTCCACATATTTTTTTCAAGTCTAAAAAGTTTAACAATTGAAAGCTGTATTTCAAAAACATGACTAGTCACACTTTTTTCAAAAGTGAGATTATTTGAAAAAAATATTTTTTTTAGGAAAAGTTGCTTCAGATAAAAAATTTCTCTGATTTAAGATGTGAACACTTATTACTTCATATAAGCTACAAAAAAAAAAAAAAAAATTATTTAAATTTTTACAGGAGAAATATTTTTTACTTTCCTGTAAAATTTTAGTTTTGTGATGTTTTCAAAATACAGTGTTCAATTGTAAATAAATTTTATTTACTACTGTCAGTCACTTTAATGACTTTTCGAGTAAAGTTTTTTAAAAAACCGGTAAGTGATAATATAAAAAAGAAAGTCAAAAGCTTGCATAAATAAATAATGTTGGAACATATACTAATCGATTCACTAAAATAAATTTCAGTAATTCAAATTTAGTGTAAAATGTCCCTCAAAAAAATTACTTAAAAACTCGATTAATTTTATTTGTTTTAAATTGCTAAAACAAGTATACAAAAAAAGAATGTTATATTACAAAGTTAATATATATTTTAAGCACTTTAAAATTATTTTTTCATTTGCAAACCTATAATTAAAGCTGCCTAAATCTTGTCTAACCTGCGAACCTAAAATTGAAGCTTAATTTTTTTTTAGCTGCGAACCTAATATTAAAGAATCCTTTAAAAAAATTTGCAACTTTTAATAGGCTTCAGCTTTAACGCAGCCTATTTTCATTTTTGTCATATGGCCAGTTTTGAAGCAATTTTGCCCCGTTGTGTGACGTGTATTGAAAATTTATTAAAGTTTTATATAAATACGTAATTATCTAATATATGTAATTTTGACATTATGTTAATGAAAAAATTGTTTTAGAATAATATTTTATTGCAACGTTACTTAAAATTAATTTTTGACATTAACATAAATAAGATTACTTATTTATTTCACACATTTAAATTATTTACATTTACATAAATTAGATTACTAATTATATACCTATTATTGTATACCTATAAATTAGATTATATTTACATTACATTTATTATATCTTTACATAAATTTCATTACTTATTTAAATATAATTTAAATAATTTGTTGATACTTTTATTCCAGGCTTTAAAACTTGTTTTGCTTGAAACTAAGCAAAAAAAAAAATTAAAAATAGTTGAATGTTCACAAAGAACTATATTTAGAATCATTTAACATTTAATACAATAAATAGGAAGTGTACAAGTAGAAACTACTTGAAAATCAATAATAAAAAAAAGATGATTATTGCTTTGGTCAAAGCTATGGCAAAGCTTCACATGGCTGAGCCAGTTTTGGCCTAAAAATGCATATGTTTTAAAAGAAAAGGTCCAGATTATATTGTCCAGATGCTATTATGATAGATATGATAAATTATTATGAACTGTAATGCAACTTTTAGGCTGAGACACTTACCATTAATTCAAATCCATTGCAAACTTTGCTATTTTAGACTATATTCGGAAATTGTTAAAACCAAATTACATAAACCAAGTGCTTCAACAATTCTCACTACACAAACTATTAGATTTTCAAAATTATGTCAGCTGTTTAGTCAGCTCAGGTAAAGTTACACAAATTAGCAATAACATGGTATTAATCATAAAAAACTGTTTTATGGTGTTACAAGAAAAAAAAGATATTCTTACCTTGACAATGTTAAATTCAATTTTATTACTAAAACTGTTGGCTAATAATCAATAAAGTAAATTTCAGTTCACGAGAATTTACTAAATTAAAACCATATTTCAACAGTAGTCAAACTAATCATAAATAATGAAGTAGAGTAGAACGTCAAGGTCGAACTAAAATAAAAATGATAAAAAAATTTAATAATTAAAAAAAAACATTTTGAACTTGTGCTAAATAAAAAAAATTCTTTTAATAAAAATGTAAAAGAACCAATAACAGTTTAGATATATTAAAAGAAATGGCAAAAATAGAACTTAAAAACATATACATAAATAAAAAATTGAATTATATATATATACAAATATATTAATTCTAGTTTTTAAATACTAATTCCAATACATGCAACCAGGACTTTAGGATCATTCATAAATGAGGTATGCTTGAAAACATGTAAAAATCAATCCATATATTATAATGTATAATACATACCCATATTTTATATATATATATATATATATATATATATATATATATATATATATATATATATATATATATATATATATATATATATATATATATATATATACATATATCAGTGGCGTACCAACAGGAAGGAAGAGGGCTCACCGCTTCGGGTGTCATCCACTTTTGGGTGACAACCAATTTAATAATATCTTATATTTTATTTTGGTTTAATAAAATAAATAAACAGTCTTACATAAAAAAATAAGTGGGTATTTATTTACACGACCTACGAAATGCTGAATGCTGAAAGATATTGTTATCATTATTTAGAAAATATAATTGCTTAGCTTTCTTATTATAAATAAACAGTCTTACATAAAAAAAATAAGTGGGTATTTTTTTACACGACCTACGAAATGCTGAATGCTGAAAGATATAGTTATCATTATTTAGAAAATATAACTGCTTAGCTTTCTTATTATTGTCGAAAACAAGGTTTAAAATTACATGTGTCAACGTTTCTAAATACTGCTTTAATAACTTCATATATAAAAATAATTACATATAGTATATGGGTGACAACCTATTTGCCGCCCCAGGTGACACCATAACTAGGAACGCCACTGATATATATATATATATATATATATATATATATATATATATATATATATATATATATATATATATATATATATATATATATATATATATATATATATATATATATATATATATATATATATGTATATATATATATATGTATATATATATATATATATATATATATATATATATATATATATATATATATATATATATATATATATATGTATATATATATATATATATATATATATATATATATATATATATATATATATATATATATATATATTTATATATGGCTCATTCCATATCAAATTGCTTTATGGTCCCCAGACTACCACCTCAAATTTGCTTAAAATTTTGACCACCAACAGTATTTATGAAAAAAATACAAACTTCTAAATTTCAGCTTGATTGGCCAAACTGTTCAAAAGTTGATTGATTTAATATTGACAAAAATGAGAAAAATTTAAGTACCTGGATCTTACAGTAGCTTTTTTTTGATGATGCAAAGAAGTGATGTTTTGCATTTATATTGTAATCTTCAAGATGGTACATTAAGTTTAACAGACATTTGTAATTTTTATTCTGTAACACAGCACCGTCACTGAAGTATTAACAAGAAAGTACCATAGTTAACATAGTACCATAATAATAATAATAATTAACATAGTACCATAGATACCAAATAAACTTCATTTATTTAACAAACAGAGCATGAAGCTATCACCATAGATAAAACTGGATTCAAAATTTTGAAAAAAAAATATGGGTTTATTTAAAGCTACTTGTGCAAGGCCTAAAAATTGTTGTTAACTATGAAATCAACATCAGTGGAGACAGAACGAGCTTTTTCAGGCTTCGAATTTTTTGTTACTAAAATAAAAAATAGATTGGCAGATGATACCCACTGTACTGATTCTGTTGAGTCATTCTACAAAAAACTTGAAAAAATGTAGTTTAAAGATAAAAGTTATAAAACTTTTTCATTACCGATTACCCAGGAAAATATTGTTGGCTGGGTAATGGAAACACTGAAGTGTATCTTGTAAGAAAGCCTTGTTTTAAAGCATTAAGCGTAAAGCAAATTAAGCGATTTTTACATAAGCAGCAAGCCATTTCGATTAAGCAATTTTTCATCAATTTTTAACTAATAAATTATACTATAAGTGGTAAGATAAAAGTAGTAATTAATCAAAAAAAACATTAACTTTTGAATGACATTTATGTAAAAATATTTGTTACAAAAGTTTGAATGACAACTTTTACATGACTTAATTTAAAACTAATTTAATAAAAATATATAACTTTATTCTGATAAAAAAAACATATATAATTTAACTTAGCTTTAAAAAAAATATAATTTAATTTTGATTTAAAAAATATTTGTAAGTTTATTAAAATTTAAAGTTAATAGCTTGGATTTAACCTAACTGCTAACCTATTTAAAAGTATTACTAAATATTTTTTTTATAACGTATGTAATTTTAATAAAATGATAAACTAATAAACTTTAAATAAATTGAATAAATTTTTTAAAATAAAAACATTTGTAGTTACAAAGCAGCAATTAGAAATTTAAAATATAATCATTTTATAAACTGAAAAATTTAACATATTTAATTTAACAATTCATTTATGCAAATGTCGAGAAAAATATAATTTTGTTAATATCAAACTTTTATAAAAATGCAATATTAAATTTTATTATTAAAAATAATTTAAAAAAATAAGCATTGTATTTAAGTTTAATAAAAAAAGCCGTTAAATAACATTTAATTTGTTTTGCGGTAATTTAAAAAAAATAATGTATAAAAAAATCAACAGAATTTTATGTTGTCAAATATCGCGTTAAGCTATGCATTAAGCATTCAAATTATAGAAACTAATTGCAGACAAAATGCATCGAACTGAACTGTATAATGTAATCAAAACCAAATAAAAAATAAACATATAAATATAATATATAACATATAAACATATAAAATAAACATATAAAACTATTATTTTTATTAGACCATTTAGAGTAAATTAACTTTAAAACGATTATTATTTCCATTAAACCATGTTAATTAAATTTAAACAATCCCATCACTAAACGGTACAAGATAAAAATAAATTTAATATAAAAGGAATACTTATAGTATACCACATTATTTTAAACTAAATACTAAAAGAATAACTATACTAAAATGTATATATTAATTAGCGTATAAACTGAATATAAAAGTATGTATGATAAATAGTATGATAAATAGACCTTATAAATAAGTAGAAATATTATATATACTAAGTTTAAAATTACACCATACATTTAAATTTAAATACACAAAAGTTAGTCTTAATATAAATATAAAACAAAGAACCACATTAAAACATATTAATTAAATGGAAATTAAACATAACACAAACAACTTTATCTAAACATATCAATATTACCATTTTGAACCAGACCATAAACCACATCAGATCACAGAATTCATACCATGAGACATCCATGATGCGCATTTATAATGTTTGTTTACTGTGCTAATAACATAAAACAAATGGTATCCATGCTCCACAGCTGACACTTTTATGCATCACATTTATGCTCTTCAGTAACTCTACTATAGCTTTTCATTATCAAAATAATTAATTACATGTACTTTCCTCGGCTATGGTTTATTATTTCTGTTTATATTAACTAAATATAACTATGATTAATTTGCATTATTTCTCTTCTAAGAGGCACTTTATTTTAACGGACATCTGTCCTTGTGTACTTTTATCTCAATCTGCTACACCCTTTTAACTTGTTATGCACCTCTAAGGCGTTCACTGCTCAGTGCAGTTCTACTAAGGTTGCATTCAAAAAAAAAAGTATTTACAAACATGCAGATTCATACAAATAAAGACATTAAATGACATATAAAACTTTAACATTTAGAACACTACTAACACAAAACATATTAACTAACACAACTTACATAACATTGCAACATCACTTAATCATTAAATAAAATTCCCCTTCCATACATTACCTCTCAATACTGGACATCTGTCTAAGTATTATAACTTATCTAGCACTCCCTTGTACTTTTGTAAAATATTTCTCCCTTCTCTTAAGACTAACTTTAACAGCTTCCACTGCGAAACAATAGCAAAATATTATTATTATTATTATTATATATATATATATATATATATATATATATATATATATATATATATATATATATATATATATATATATATATATATATATATATATATATATATATATATATATATATATATATATATATATATATATATATATATATATAAATAGGTGAAAATTTTATATATATATATATATATATATATATAAAAAGGTGATATTTTAAAACTAGTCAAATCATTGTCTGGAAACTCGTTTAAAGCAGGATTCAACTGTTGGAAGAATAATAATTGATGGAAGCGGCTGTCACAGTGTCCTTAAAGGCCGTTTTCCACAAGACGAAATATTCGCGCAAAGCAAATTTTTTTGCTATGACAAAATGCTGTTTTGATTTCCACTTACTTTCTTTCGCGCTAGTTTTTTTTCGTTGTCAACAATAAAAATGACAGCAATAAGTTTACGCTGTATGATTAACTAAAGACAGTTATTACTTTTTTAGCATACTTTCTACTTTAAAACATGTGAAAATTTCTTTCCGTGCATTAATAATAACATTTCTGTCTTTATATGTAAGATGTGATATCATTTTGTAAAATAATCATTTACTATAAGGTTTTTTTTACAAGAAAGTATAAGAAAATAAATACTTAACTCTGATATGATCATTTCTATTAAAAACTGTTACTGCAAGAACGAACAGCAGGTTTAACTCTATTTAGGTTTTTACAAAAAAAGGTTTATCTTTGTGTGGCCAATTGAAGATAAAAACTCTTATGAAGTGTAACTTTCGTTATTGACAGTGTGAAAATTTAAATTTGTAAACTCTCGATTAAGTTTTATATATAAGTCTTGTCATTTTTTTATATAAGTCTTGCTTCTTATTTGATGAATTTACTCATCCTTGCCAATTTTCAGGGTAAGTTCATATAAAATTAATAACGCTAGATTAAGAATTTTGTTTTTTGTTACTTTGAAAACAACATGATTTCGCTCTTTTTTACTGTTGACATCACATGATATAATATTCAAAACTTGATTGGTTTTTGCTTACGGCGATTCGCAAAAAGTCGAAATGAATCCGACTTTTTTTTCCGCTGAAACGAAACGCTGTAGTGAGAAAAATTACCAAAAATGTTTAATCTGCGCATGCTCAACGACGAAAAAATTCGCTTCACTCGAATATTTTGTCTTGTGGAAAA